GCTGGAGGAAGTATCGTTAAATCGCTGCCATAGTGCCTGTCTTATTTTCTTCATTGGCCATTGGTACATCAAATAATATTATGTGATTGTGTTATGGAAATAGAGCTCACTATAAGAAGACAAGATTGTGTTTCCGTGAGAGAATGGGCTTGGGTTACCAGAGCTGTTCTGGGTTCTTGGGAAAGTGCTTTAAATCCCTGGGCTCCAGTTTTCCCGTTTTTCTTGGTGGTGGTTCTGAGACTTCCAGGAGATGATGTATGTAGAGTGCCATACCCCGTGTTTGGGCCTTCTGTATAGTTAGTCCTGGACAAGAAGCTCTTCTTTCTTCTCACCTCTCTTTTGAGTTAACAGTATGATTTTGTTAAGGTATTCTGGGATAAGGAACATTTTTTTTTGAAAGTGGTTTATGATCTTCAAGAACAAATATCAGAGCTTTAGAAAGAAGTTCTCGGTGTTATTTCCTCCCATCAAGCCTTAATAGCATGCTGTCTAATTTTTCCTCTTCTGTGTATTTGGCATTTCTTCCTTCTGGGAACTTTCTTCCCTCTCTCCATATATTTCTTGTGGGGGTTGATAAAGTGTGGCTCTGCCTTCCTTACTACAGTGATTGGTCCAGGGTGGACACATGATCCTGGGAAGAGCCAATCACCGTCTTTATTGGAGTTTGCTGTGGTTGCCAGTGGATAAAGAGCAGCACCCTTTGCTGAGATTGCTAGCTGTGAGTAAGGGTGAGCCTGAAGCTGCTGGTGGCTGTCTTTGATGCTTTTAGAAAGAGCCTCCTGAGGATGAAGCCCCCATGATGGAAAGTGAAACCAAAAAAAAAAAAAAATTAAAAAGAAAGATTACTCATGGTGTATTGGAACCTTTGAATCTATTTGACCATGCTTAAGTTCACCCTTGCTCTTCTTCTGACTGCTTGATTCTCTGAGACCAAACATCCTTTATCGTTTAATTTTTCTTTTTTGCCTTTTGATTGAAAAACCCCTAATGTTTACTTGGCATGGGTGGATAAAATGAGGGTTCTGGTGTCATAGGAAGCACATAATGAAGAGGTCCCTATAGAAGAAGGCAGGTAAGGTGTTAAAGAGGATCACTGAAGACTTATTTTGCCTAATCACAGTGGTCAGGAGCTGGCTTGTTTTTCAGAATAGACTTACATAAAAAAGCAGGGCACATGGATTGACTCCTGATTTCTAACATTGTTATAAAAATGATAGACATTTTTGAGGATCTGTCTCCTGTCCCAAATCCTATGTGTTTTTTTTAGGCATGATTATAGGCAATTAGAAAGCTCTGCCTGGCAGTCCTCAGGGGGAAGATGCTCTCCTCGCATCAAATAGCCAGCACATTGCAGTTGTCTGAAGGGGGATGCAGTAGGGACTCAGCCCTGGGCCAGCCATGTTCATTGGCTGCATTCCGAGACTGGTGCCTCCCTCTGGAAGTCCCCATAGAGAGTTCTGGTGGAGGTGCTTTTCTCCTTTTGATTCAGCGCCTTTCTGCTCCTAGCCTTTCTGTCCTTCTCCTCCTAGCTGACATGTTCCCAGGAGGAAGGAGCCTTTTGTTCAGGGCTCGTTCATAGCCAGACTCTTTCTCCACCTGTGCTGCATCCATCTGATTCTCAGGTGTGCCATTCTGTGAGAAAAGTGGACCCCGAGGAGACGGCAGCTTTTCTGTCTATTGTTTGCAGTGTTGCAGTAAGTGAATGAAGCCTTGATTGGTACTTTCATTTTGGCTCGTTGTTGGAATTGACCACCTGGACACCTGGCAGCTTGACAGTTTGAAATTCATTCCTGTGGGTTTTTCTAACCATTATCATTGCATGATTTTCCAGACTGGCTAGGAGCAGAGAAATGTGTCTGAGAGTGGACCTCACACTTCCTGCAGGATTTTCAACCCCAGCTGTCCATTTAAAAATACTGATGCTCAAGTCCCCTCTCAAACTAGCTATATTGGAATTTCTAAGACTGCATTTCAAACATGGTAATTTAAAAACTCTTGGTGACCTAATATTAGCCAAGATTGGGAACATTGTTTAAGAGGCATCAGAGTCCTAATCTGTGACATAAATAGCATAGCTTCCAGAGGTTTTGTTCATCTACTGGATGAAAATCATATTAGGGTAGTGTCTGGAAAACTGCAATTCTCCTGTGGGTGGTAACTAATCCAAAGTTTGATGAAACAATATTGATCCATTGCATGAGTCTGTGCATATGTGTGTATTCTTTGTTGGAAGGATGAACCAGGGAGTAAGGGAATAAAGAATCCAGAATCAAGGAATAGCCAATGGTAGGCCTGAGTGTCCAGAAGCACAGTAAACTAGAGCATGGGTTGTCTGATTTCTAAGTGAACATGGTTTCTTATATGGGGGCAGTTCAGTCCTCTTTGGTCTTGGAGACTGCTAACTGCTTGTTTTTGAGGGCTGAATCTTGGATTTTGAGGAATCTTCCTGCTTGTCCCATTTCTTCTGCCCATTATTCCAGAGACGTGCCAAAATGCATTCTATTGTCATGGATAACTAATTGGAGCAAACTACCAAGGTAAAGCTCCAGCTGCTGAAGGAGTGAGTGGTTAGTGGCTGGAGGGGACAGCCTTGGAGGGGACAGACCTGGGGATGCATTCTGGTCTTGCTGCAAAGCTGAATCCTTAGGCAAGTTTCTGAGCTTTCCTCTCATCTGCAATGAGATAGGTATGTCCCTACCAACTTTCTAGGGCTTCTGGGGGTTTATTTATATGAGCAGCTCCAGAAGGTGGAGTTTCTTTCTCTTCTCTGGTCATTCACAATGGGAGAATGTTCCTGGCGGTTCCTAGAGGAGGTGGCAGTCAGAGGAAATTCATCACCAATGTGGTCTGAATATTACGCAAAGAGGACAAAGAAGGCTTTTAATGTAGCTTTGTTTAATACACTTTAACGACAACATTATTTTCCTGTTTTTTTTTAAATCATACATAGTTGTCTTTAGATGATCATACAGATTTACAAGCTATGAGCTCTTGGGCTCAATTCATAGAATATAGATTACTTTAGGTATCAATGAAGTCACACATGGAAATCTGCTTGACTGTTATGGGATAAAGATATTCATTTTCCTGATTCCTTATTGAAAGCCTTTTCTCAATCACTTTTAAATTGGTGGCCACTGAGAGGGGAGTGGAGTAAGGGGAGAAGATATGGGGGTAGGAAGGATAGTGGAATGAATCAGACACTATTACCCTATGTCATATATGATTACATGACCTGTGTGATTCTATATCATGTACAACCAGAAGAATGAGAAGTTATACTCCATATATATATGATGTGCCAAGAGGCATTCTGTTTTCATGCATAAATAATTAGAACAAATAAGTAAAAAACAACACAAAACAAAATTTGTGGCTAGTTATTATGGCAGAATAAACTGAAGAGGGGAAACCAGACTGTTTTCCCTTCCAATGAAGCCATCCTTCAGTACAACTACCTGTTCAAGTTCTAGCCATTTGAGGAATAAAATTGGTTTAACTTGGAAGTCAACCAATTCTACTTAAGACACTCTGTGAAAGGGTCTGAGCTTCCATCTAGCATCCACAGGAAAAGCTGTGGTCAACTTATAAGGTCCATTGTGGACATGGATTGATGTTTGGTGTTGCATGTTTCCCACATCAGAATGCTGCTCACCTCATCCAGCCCCAGTTTTCTATCATGCTGCCTGGTTCTTCTCTCCACCTTTTATCTTCTTGCAGGATATTAGCAGAACTCAGAAAGAAAATTAGGAGATGGTGATATCTATTAATCACTCCCTTATTGATGTGTGCTTGGAACTTTGTTCATATTTTAGCTAGTACCTCTACCTAATGCATGGTAATCATGCTTTGTTTATTGTCATTGCATGTCTCTTTCCATTGTCACTCTGTGGATGTCTTGAAGCTAAGGACTGTTAGTCTTTTTTCTTGTGTTATCTATACCTTCTGCCTCCCACTCCCAAACCTGGTTACCAGGCTGTACATAATAATCATTCACTTTTATTATATAGTTCAAATTTTCATCTCTACTTTTAAATCACCCCATATATGGCCAGCAAAAAATATCTTTCTAAAACATGATCTTGTCCAATTTCTACTTAAAACCCTTCAATGACCCCAATTTTCTAAAGGATAAAGTTCAAGTTCCAAATCCTTTGTTTTAGCAAAAAAAAAAAAAAAAAGTCTTTGGAGGTTTTGTTCTCACCTAGTTCTTTGATTCACCAATCACTGTTTGCTCCTCCATCTCCTTAATACCATCTTATTTTGTACCTTTGAGCCATTACATCAGTTACTCATTAAGCACAAAAATGCCTGTTTCCCATTGCCCACCCCACAGACTGCCCTTCTTCCTTCACAATTCCACATCTTGAAGGGTTGAGTTGCACCTTACAGCAGTCAACATGTGGACCTGGCATCAGGCTGCTTGAGTTCAGTTTCTGACGAGTTGTCATTTGTCCTGGCCTTAGTGCTCTTATCTATCTGAAAAATGAGGTAGTAGTGTGCTTGGTGGGAGAAGTCAAGGAGCTAATCTGTATCATCTATAGGAAGCACTTTGCAGGATGCCAGGTGCAGAGTGAGTGTTCAGCTAAGTTTATCTAATTTCTTAATGGACTCAGTGCCAAGCTCACTGTTATTTTGTGTGTGTGTAGGGGTGGGTGGGGACTAACGAGGTACAAAATAAGACTAACAAGATAGCTGTATTAACTGGGAAGTAAAGGTAGCATAAAGGTCAAGCCCAGAAAAAAGAGCTCCAGCCCTATTTGGTGTGGGTATGTCTGAGGAGATGCTTTGGGGGGAGGGGTGTTGGAACCAAGTACCTAAGGAGGCCCCAAAAGTGTTGCATGGTGGTGAGGATGTAGGGAGTGTGGAGTTGTGGCTGGCCTGATGAACCATAATCAGCCTGTGCAGCTGTAACAGGGAGAGACTATCAAGCACAGGTGCATGTGGTGTTTGGTGGCTTTGGGATGCAGCAATCTCCTGGTCAGCCCACTGGCATTCCAGGCGTCTGTCTCTTTCTTGCATGCAGGAGAAAAATGGAGAAGAGGGCTCAGGCAGCAAAACTTTCTTCCTGATGGAAGGTCAGGTGAGAGGTAAGTTTGTGCCTCTCTTTGTGAGCCTGAGTGTGTGACAGTTGTCCCCAAGGGAGTCTTTTTTTTTTTATATATTGCATATATAAGATTTTTATTCAAATAAAAATTAATTAACTAAAGCATTTATAATGACATTTAAAAATGTTCTCAAAAGAACAAAAAATAATCATCAGAGTATGATTACTCTTTAAGGTCAATTTGTAAAATAAATTTTCATTCAAATGAAGTATATTTAAAAGTGAAAAGACAAACTCTTCTTCTGCATCTTTCACATTATTTTCAATAATTCGTTTTAAAAATTACACATAATAGTTAAAAAAAGAAGAAGCAAATTTTCTTATGAAGTATACAGTTGGAAGCATAAAAATGTAATTTAAAAAAATGCTCCAGTTCTAACATGTACATTTATATTAATAAATTGAATTCCTTAATCTCTCTTTTAACCTTGATAAATGGAGTTGGTTTGTGTGGAACAGCCTTTGTTCATTTCTTCACAGAGAAGAAGGGGAGGCTGGATGGATCAGGGTCCTCTGGGGCCTTCTGTGTTGAAGAGGAAGTTGTTTCACTCTTGATGTCCCATGGGTAGACCAGTAGGCATTGGCTATGATCAGGATCAATTTTTGCAACTGTTTTTGGTATGTATGAAACAAAAATCACTCTGGATCTTTCTCTCCCTGCTCATATCCCTCATTCACAATGAGTTAAAATCACTTCCTCTACCCAATGCAAATGGAAGAAGAGTTATTTTTTTTTAACCATAGGTGGGGGAGTTCATAGACAGAGGCCCTTATGAGACTTTGCATTGAAGTTCAGTTTAATTAGGAGTTTGGCAGCTATGTAAGTGTAGGTAGGGTCATGTGGAGAGAGGGCACTGGAAGCAGAGGGTATCATGTGAAGAAAAGAATGGCACAGAGTTGTCACATGTTCATCTCTTTCTTCAAAACTGGAACTGATGGCCATCAATATCATTTAGTAGATGGGGAAAAATCAAGTTAGGGATACAAAATACAACACAACTGTGGTGGGAGAGTTGTGCAGTGCGACTTATTTTGTCTAAAAAGAATGAAAAAAACCAAAAATTATTATATTTGGTAGTAATTATCCCATGGCTGATCAGAATATTGTATAAAGATGGATAGAGCACTAAGCATCCCATAACATGAATATTTAAGTGTTGGAAGAGCCCTCATTGTTTTGCATTCTTTAGGGTAGGCATTTTGTTTTTGTTTCAATAGTTTGATATAGAAGAGAATCAACATATTAAAATGTTATGAACTATGAGGTGTTCTTGGGTTCTGTGTGTGCAAACGTCTGAGAAGTATACTGGGAAATTGATCAGCATTTGGTTGTCCGTATAGCTACTTGCCCAAGTGATGTAGTGAAAAGAAATGGGCTTGTTAGCTGGCCAGATTTGGGTGAAAGTCCAGGCTCCTCCTTACAAGACAGGGAAGATGATTTGTGAAAAGTTGGGTAAATCCTCAAAAACAGAAGTTGACATTATCACCAACTGTTATGTGGATATTTAATGTGAAATGATCATTGATCTCTTTGGGAGCAAGAAATAATTCATTTAATAAAATTCTATTTGCTCCAAGGGGAGTGTTAATTTGTTGTTCTGATCGAACACTGACATCTCACTTTCTATAAGAGGATATAATATTAGAGATTCTTACTGAGAGTCCATGAATAGGTTTTACAGGGTCTACGAGTATTCTAAAATTGTGTTGAAAATGTGTGTGTGTGGGTGCACATTTGTGTGTGTCTGTACGAGTTTGTGATATGTCTCATTCTGTAGGTGGGTATGAATATTGGATTCCTTTTCTAATTAACACCTGAGTTACCTGTGAAATTTTATACTTCTCTTTAATTTTTTTCAGTTAATAAAAAAATCAAGGCTTAAAATTTACATGATTTAACGGAATGTTATTTGGAACACTGGAGGCTTGAAACGTAAGCTTTCTGCATCCAAATTTGTTGACATTTCTGCTAAATTATGCAGGTCCTGTTTGGGGACATAAACAGTAAACTTGGTAAAGGTAAATTCAGTGGGTTCTGGGGAATAGTGACCATTTAAATTCCATTTTTTTTTATAATTAAGTTTGCCACTCTTTGCTAGGTATAGCCCCACTTGGAATTCATAATGATTGTCAATGTCATCTCTCTGTCAGAGCATACAGACTGTGCTTTCCCATTCCAGATGCCCATGCGGCAATTTAAAGACCAGTCAAGGGTTTACATTAGATTTCAAGATGGAAAGACACTGTGTCTTTTTGCCTGGCTGCTTTTGCTTTCAGGAGACACTTGAGTGCCATGGAGTGTGGTCAGAACGTTCTCCTGTTTTATTCTGTGATTCCCAGTGATCAGGCCGAGGACTAATGCACCTTGCAGACAGTGTTCACCTGTCAAGGCCAGTGACTGCTGCCTACTTGATTCCTTGTGATGAGTCTGAATTTCAGGGCCAATTTTCTCAGCTTTGCTCACCTTGTTCAGCCATGAGGACGACTTCCCAATGCTATTCAACATTGTATTTTGCAATTTAAAATAGATTCATATTTCTTGGTTCTCGTTGTTTAAAATGACCTTTTCTATTATTTAAAAATAATTAAGTAAATGAACAGATCAAAACATTTCAGCAGTACAAACAGAACAAAATTCTGAAAGTTAAAGTGTGAGCCCTTTTCCCACTGGAGAAGAAGTCAGCATTAAACATTCATTTTGTATTTGTCTAGAAAGTGTCTGTGTAAATTCATGCAAAACATGTAAATATAGCTTGAAACAAAACTGAGATTATTAGGCAAGTCTACTTTTCTCTGAGTGATATAACTCATTATTGGAAAGGTCTGTCTGCCTTTCCTTTGCATGAATTAAACATTTTTTATTTATACAGTACCATGGATTCAGTTGTTTTTCCTTCTCTCCCCTGGCTAATGCAAGTAATGCTAAAATGAACACCCTTCTTAAATACATCTTTGCATACATGGTCACAGACATTAGTAAAATATCTGTAAGGCTAGTTTTCCAGAAGTAGAATTGTTGAGGTACAGAATCTGTACACCTGGCCTCATTTTGTAATCTTTATTTCTATACTATCTAATAACATAATTAATGAGTTCATTTAATTTAACAATTTAAAAACATGAGCTCCCTAGTTTTTTTCCTCACAGAACACTTCTAATAATAAGTGTGTATGTTTTTTTTTTCCTCATATAAAACAATTCCCCAACTCTGGGCACTACCTGGGTTTCCAATGATCTAAGTGATTCTAGCACTACCTAGAACTTTTGCAGGTCCTTAACAGAGGTTAAGGACTTAGTCTCACAAGACTGCCTTCACAAGATGCCAGTCACTATCTGTGTGCTATAAAGCTGGTAGTTTCCATGACTGTCTTGTCTAGTTTGATAATTTGCAAATGGCTCAAGAACTCAGGAAAACATTTTATATCACTGTGACAAAATACTGGAAAAGCAACTTGAAGAAGACTTATATTGGGTCTTGGTTTCAAAGGTTCCAGGTAATGATCAGCTGGCTCCATTTTTTCCTGGACCTGTGGTGAGGTGATACATCATGGTGGAAGGAGGGCATGTGGACCAAAGCTGCTCAACTCACAGCAGAAGCAAGCAGAGGAGCGGAGGAGAGTCCAGGAACAAAATATACCCCTCAAGGCCTGTCCCCAGGGATCCATCTCTTTTCACCTAGGCTCCACCTCCTGATGTTTCTGCCACCTCCTGATAGCACAACCATCTGAGGACCAGGCCTTCAGCCTGTGAGCTTTTGAGGAACATTCCAGACCCAGGCTTTAACACTTACCATTGCATCTCAGGATTCACCAAATAGAAGATAAACTTTGTTAATTTGTATTCTCTAGACATACAGAACTGATAGGATCTATTTATCTATCCATCGATTGGTTCATGCAACTAATTATCCATCATGAATATATTTAAACTCATGCAAAAACATTTCCATAAAACTTGAAGCAATTACCTCAAATCTTGAAACAAGGTAAGTGCAGAATTTCATAGTAATCTGCCTCTATGTTTTTTCAAGTCTTATGTACATGTTTTTGCATGAATTTGCAAAAAATGCACATACTAAGTATATGTACTATATGTGTATGTGTGTGTGTGTGTGTGTGTGTGTGTGTGTGTGTGTGTGTAGATAGATAGATAGATAGACAAATGGATGGATGAGTGGATCTAGATATTTGAGAAGAGATTTTTTAGAGGAACTGGTTATGTGATAATGGAGGCTGAGATTTCTCACATCAGGATGGCTGTGAGCTGGAGATACTAGGATGCTAGGAGCCTGACTCAGTCCAAGTCTAACAACTTTAGAACCAGAGAAGTCAATGGTGTAGTTCTGAGGGTGAAAGTCTGAGAACTCTGTGGGGGGTCAGTTTGAGGCAAATCTCAGAGTGCACATGCTGGAGAGCCTGGAATTCTGATATCCAAGGGCTGGAGAAATGTCCAAACTCAGCACGCGCGTGCACACACACACACACACACACACACACACACACAGATGGAGTGAGCGCAAATTCACCTTTTGCTCACCTTTCTGTGCCATCTGGGTTTGGAGTTGATTGGATAGTGCCTGATCCTATTCAGTTCACCAACTCATGCTAAGTTCCTCTACATACACTTACACAGATAATGGTTTGCAGTTTTCTAGATATTTCTTAATCTAGTCAAGGTGACTATTATTGATGCAAAGGGTAAGGTGTGGGGGAGGGGTACAGAGCTTCACGCTCTCTCTGGGCACATTGTCCCCACAACTCTTCCATTTACAAACTAACCGGGAACCTCTCTAAGCAATCTTCAGGGTTTTAGTGGAGGTTCTATTACAAAGGCATGATGAAGTCATCGGTTATAGGTAATTAACTCAATCTCCAGTTCCACTCCCATCGCTGAAGTCTGGGGAGTAAGACTAAAGAGCCAACCTTCTAATTAGTGGTCAGTTCCTCTGGCAGCCAGTCCCAACCCTGCAGCATCTAGGTGCTCACGGAGATTCAGTTAGCATCAACTCAGCAGGTTGAAAGGGCTCATTATGGACAACAAAAGACAAGCCTCTCACCCCTATTACTCAGGAAATTAATTCCAAAAGTTTCAGAACCTTTGTTTTAGAAATGAGTGCAAAGATTTTATATATATATAAATACATATATTTCTTATATAATTATATGTGTAAACATACATATAAAATATTAATAAGAAATATATATGTATTTTTCTAGCAAAATATCATGCTAGTCATTAAATTGATTGTTTAAAATATGCCATATGGCAAACTTCCTTTCACCTATGAAACTTCTCCAGGAGACTTTTCTTTCTACCAATGGTTTGTTGTTGTCCCCTCCAACCTGAACTTGACTGAATGTACGAGCAGAATGCTTCTTCAAAATCAATGTTACCTTCGAGAACTCTGTGACCATCAGGTGCTTTAGATTTCCTCCCCACTGTTTCCATACTTGGTCTTTCTACCTAACAGCTACCCGGACTTCTCAACGTCCAGACACATGGCACCTTGTGTTACGGTAGAAATTTTATTATTTGATCAAAACTTGGAAAGCAAAAACTTTCAATTCTTCCTTGGTTACATGTAGTATCACATGAACTCATATAAGGGGTTGAGGATCTGC